TGTTTGAGACAGGGTTTCTCTGTGTAGCCCTGGTTGTCCTGGAACTAGCTCTGCAGATCAGGCTGGCCTTGAACTCACAGAGATTAACCTGCCCCTGCCTCCAGAGTGCTGGGATTGAAAGCGAGTACCACCGCTGCCTGGTGCAACTCAGGTTTTTAGGCTTGGCATCAAGTGCCTTTACCCACTGAGCCATCTTGCTCCTCCCCCCCCTCCCCCCAAACACACACAGATACCAGAATCACGTGAACTAGTGTAAGCTTAAGGGTGAACTTTTTTAAAGATAAGAATGTCGGCCGGGCAGTGGTGGTGCACGCCTTTAATCCCAGCACTCCGGAGGCAGAGCCAGGTGGGTCTTTGTGAGTTCGAGGCCAGCCTGGTCTACAGAGCAAGATCCAGGAAAGGTGCAAAGCTACGCAGAGAAACCCTGTCTCGGAAAAAAAAGATAAGAATGTCATAAACTGCCAAGGGCAGGAAGTGCAGAGGGTGTGAAGGGATTCAAGACTGGGCTCCCAGACAAAGAAAACCCAGCCATGGAGTCACTCAGGCTCTCTAATGTCCAGTTGACACTCATCATTGTTTATGTTTTGTTTTATCTCCACAGTCCAGGTTTTCCTGTTTATTAGAGTGTCAGTGCCAAAAGGTGATATCCAAGCTTAGCCTTACAGCTCAATAGTTCACACACGTAAAAGAGGAAATCGACATTTCCAAGCATAATAATCAAATTGATCCAACTTGGGCCAAGTTCTCTGCTGCAGACAAGGACTGATTGGGGTATTGAGAGCTAAGTACTGCAAAAGATACCTAGGTCACAGGGCTTCACACAGAACCATCTGGACTGATGGGTCTCCAGGTTACATGGGCTGCTCATTCTCAGTGACCCAGTCTTTAGAATATATGCTGCCTTTAAATTATTTTCTTTTTTAATATGGCTAACTTGTTGTGGTCAGGCTTATGATTTCTATCAATGGAAATGATTTTTTTTTTTTAGCATAAGGAACAGGCTTTAGAGAACAAAATGAAATTTATGAGGCAAATCTTTTTTTAAACAGCTTTGTTTTATTTAGCTTGCTTTTATTTTATTTTATTTTTTAGATAGGGTCTCATGTAGCCTTCTCAGGCCTCCAGCTGACTATGAAGGCGAGGACAACCTAGAATTTGCAATCTTCTTGCCTGTGCATCCTAAGTTCTGGGATTACCTGTATATGCCACCTCACCTGGGTAAAACTCAAATAATCTTTGTTGGTTTGTTTGTTTTGAGACAGGCTCTCAACGCTGTAGCTCTGACTGTCCTAGAACTCACAATGTAGACCAGGCTGACCTCGAACTCTCAGAAAAATTCCTATATTCCTGTAAGTTTGGGCTTGAAATCATTGCAGTATAGAAGCTAAAGTAAGTGCAACTCCATTTTGTAGTATTCAGTTGACAAGGCCTACAAATCATCATAAGAGAAAAAAACAGAGAAACCAACTCCAAGTTCACTGGGCAAAGTAGTGTCTGTGATAGACTATTTTATAGCCATTGAAAATTGTGTTTGTGGGGCTCAGTCAGCAAAGTGCTTGAGGTACAAGTGTGAGGATCTGAGTTTAGATCCCTAACACCTAGGTAAGAAAGTATGCCGGGCGATGGTGGCACACGCCTTTAATCCCAGCATTCAGGAGGCAGAGGCAGGCGGATCTCTGTGAGTTCGAGGCCAGCCTGGTCTACAGAGCAAGATCCAGGAAAGGAAAGGCACAAAGCTACACAGAGAAACCCTGTCTTGACAAAAAACCAAAAAAAAAAAAAAAGAAAGAAAGAAAGAAAGAAGGTAAAGCAGCAGAACTGGTGCAGGTGTGTGCCTGTAACCCCAGCTCTAGTGAGGCACAGACAGACAAATCCATCCCCGGAGCTCACTGTCCAGCCAGGTGAATCAGTAGTTAGGTTCAGTGAGAGACGCGGCCTCAAAATATAAGATGGTGAGTAGTAGAGGAAGACACCCAACATTGGCCTCTGGCCTCTACATACTTGCACACACTTGTGCACACATGCACAGACCCATGAACACAACACACACACACACACACACACACACACACACACACACACAAATGATATTTACAATAGGTACCTGAGAAAAATTCTTACTGTAAAATCCTCAGAAAAACAACTCATATCATACCCACTCCATACAAAGAGTAGAAAACTAATACAAAGAAATGAGTTGGGTGGTACACTCCCACAATCAATCCCAGCTACTTGGGAGGCTAAGTCAGTGAGATGGTGAGTTTGGGTCAAACCTAGACAACAGAATAAGATCCTTTCTCAAAAACCTATGAAAAGTGATTGTGGTGGTGGCCCATGTCTTTAATCCCAGCACTCGGGAGGCAGAGGCAGGCGGATCTCTGTGAGTTCGAGGCCAGCCTGGTCTGCAGAATGGGTTCCAGGACAGCCAGGCTATACAATGAGACTCTGTCTCGAGAAGAGCAACAACAAAAATATGAAAATGCCAGGCATGCTGATGCACACTTGTAATCTCAGCACTTGGGAGGTGGAGGCAGAAGGATCAGAGTTCAAGGTCTGCAGTTACATAGCCAGTTTGAGGCTAGCCTGGGCCACATGAGAGCGGTCCTGAACAACACACAACAAAGTAAGATAAAACAATGAAATAAAACGCTGAGGATGGCTACTCTACTTAGCGAGACTGGCTGATTTTCCTCTTGTGTCATTATACTTAGAGGTCGTTGCAATATTTAGATTGAACATTCATTGCTTTTAGAACTAGAATTAAAAAACGAAAAAAGGTTTAAGCTGATTTGTGATGGCAATCACTCCTCTTCTAAGCTAACAACAGCTATATTGATGTATTACCCCTAATTTACCAATAAAGGCTCTGTCTTCACAGTAAAGAAAATCCACGTAACCAGGTAATGGTAGCGTGTACCTGTAATTCTGGCACAGACTCAGGAGGATCAAGAATTCAAAGCCAGATTGGGATGCATAGTGAAACCCCGTATCAGAAGGGGATGGGGTTGGTATTTGAACTGACAATGAAAACTTAGTAAAGAAGATCTTATTAGTGTCCATGGTACCACATGGCAAACTCCAATTCATCTTATTTTGTCCACTTAGTAAAGAAGATCTTATTAGTGTCCATGGTACCACATGGCAAACTCTATTTCATCTTATTTTGTCTGGCTCCCATCTCTGAGACTTTATCTAACTTTAATTATATACCTCAAATAACCCAGGCTAGCCTGGAACTCACTATGTAGCCCAGGCTGACCTGGAACTCCCTAGTCTTCCTGTTGCCATGTCCTGAGTGCTGGGATGGCAGGTTCTCCAGCTTTCTTCGAGGATATTACTTACTGGACTAACCAAGCCTTTCCTCTCCTTGTAGATTACCTCGAATGTTCCAGGGCCTTGTTCATTATCTCTGTCCTCTGCATGCTTACTGGCCTTGGCTTGCTCTTTAGCTCTTGCTGCCCTGCAAAAGGAATTGTGTCAGCTGAGTTGGATCTGAAGGTGTCCATCCTCAGCTTCTGCTCAGGTACTGACTGGCAAGGTAACACACTAAGGTAAAACTGTTAAGGAAACTAAGCTTTTCTGGGGGCTTTCATGGTCTTCTAACATCACACCAAGTGGCCAGCTCCCTGCCCTATCTCATTGCATAGAACATGCCTTAGGGTTGGGAATTTAGCTCATTGGTAGAGCATTTGCCTAGCAAGCACAAGGCCCTGAGTTCGGTACTCAGCTCTGAAAAAAAAACAAAAACAAAAACAAAAACAAAAACAAAACACATGCCTTAAACTGTCTCATACCAAGGGGGAAGGACCCCTTCTTTCTCCCATCTTGGCTAATCCCCAAGTCTTTCATCTTTTGATCTTTGCCATGGATATGATCCCTGCAAATGAAAGAGGAGCTGGGGGTGGCAGCCAAGGCAAATGAGAGATGCTGATAGGGTTGTGACATCTTTCCTTATGGTCCTAGCTTTCTGCTTGTTCCTCTGCCTCAACCTGTTTCTGGCCCAGGTTGAATGGTACACAAAGAGCGCCATGGAGTCAGTGTTCCTGTGGGCCTATTATCTTAATTGGTGCAGTGACGTCTTGCATGTCTGTGCTGGTGAGTCAGCCCCCTGCTCTGTGCTTAGGAGGAGGGAACAGGAAATCATTTCTGTAACAGGAGGTAGAATCGAGAAGAAATAGAAGCATGGCCGGTGTATATGTGGAGAGGCAGTGTGGTGTGGTGGGGAAGCACAGATTTGACAATCAAAAGCCTAGAATTAGTAACTTGTTCTCTCACAAAATGAGGTGTGGATGGGTTAAGTAACTTGCTTAAGGGCACACAGAAAACAATAGCACCATTGTTGAAGTCCAGGGGAGTCGAGCTTTATTCTAACCCAGACTGGAATAGTCGAAAGCAGTCCAGTCACTGGAGGGTAAATTACCCCAGCCGGGGGAGGGAAGGATTTACTGAGAAGAGGCCTTTTAAGACTGAGTATGAAATGATGAATACGATTTTTAAAAGCTAGAAGACCATCTGTCTGTTAAACCTCTCCTCAATTTTTCCCCTCTTCTAGGGATCGTCTCTTTTCTCAACTATGTAACTTTCCGATCTCATCCTCCTGACCCAAGTGTCGGTATGACCCCACGGCAGAAGTCCAGGCCGGGCTTCGGGCCAGTGCCAACAACAGCCCCCGCTGCCGCTGGGAAGTCAAGTCCTGAGATGCAATTTCTAAGTGGGAGAGGGGAGAGGCGACCAAGTACGAGAGGGGAGAGACAGCCAAGCACGAGAGGGGAGAGACGACCAAGCAGGAGAGGGGAGAGACAGCCAAGTACGAGAGGGGAGAGGCGACCAAGCAGGAGAGGGGAGAGGCGACCAAGCAGGAGAGGGGAGAGACAGCCAAGCATGAGACTGTGATAGAAAGAGGGAAGGCCAAATCCTGCTGTCTTACACATAGAGGTGGGCTAAGTGAGAAATGATTGTGCAAATTCCATGAAACCTTCTGATATCATGTCCATAGGAACATTAAAGCTAGTGAAATGTCTTTTGTGTGTGTTACGTCCAAAATATGCAAGACCATCATAAAATAATGAAGGGCTGAAGAAATGGCTCAGCAGTTAACGGTGCTGGACGCACAATCATGGCCTTCAGAATTTGAATCCCAGCACCCACAAGGCTCCTCAAAGAATAAGTGGAGATGAGGAGATGGAGGACATCCAATATCCTGTTCTGGTGCCTGCTCTCTCTCTCTCTCTCTCTCTCTCTCTCTCTCTCTCTCTC